AACTAACAAATAGCATTAATCTTACCAATCTCACAGAGAAAACTTAAGGTTTTCTTTTAAGAGATATGAAGAATGACCTGCTTACATATTGCCACAATCTGTAACTTGTGCTTTAAGATGGATATTCTATCATTATACATGTAGATGGTGTTTAATTTTGCAAAGAGCTTCAGATTTTGTCAGAAGCTGTTTCAGAGTCATTAACTCTCTTTTTTTTAAATAAAGCAAAAAGGAAGCTCCTTAACCAAACATGTGTCTTTAAAAACACCTAACAATGCCTATAACTATCAATGTTACTACTAAAAGTTTTTCAAAATTAGATTAATCAAAAGTATCTGTGGTTCTCTATAGGTTAAGGGTATTTTGTTGAACTTTCAGTTATTTATATAGAAGATATCAATAACTAAACTGTTGAATAGGTCAGCATGAGAATTTCTTCACCTTCACCAATAAAAAGACAGTTAATCAAGTTGTTTAGTACTATACATGTTCCTTCAAAATCTCTTGAAGAACCAGTTGTTATCCTTGCCTTTTTTCTTTTCTTCAATTAACATAAGCATAAAAACCTTTTAAGTACACTTTTAGGTTTTCACTCCAAAACATTTATAATCCCTTTGAACTTGATTATTGCACCTTATGGGATTTGACTGCAGCTTCTGTAGGTTTTGACTAAAGCTTTTTCAACTTCTCTTTATCTCTAAAAACTTCAGAATCCTTCATTTTACTTGTTTTTATAAGCTACGTTTTTTCATTTATTATAAATTTTATTCCACTATTTATCCATTTAGGAAAACCTTTTTATTTGAAACATAAAGATTTGATAGTAGAAATGCATTCTTTATTGAACTTGCAAAAACACACACACATAGATTAGCAACTCAGTCTTTCTTGCTTAAAATATCTTGAACTTTCTAACAGTTAGCTTTTTTAAAATCATGGAAGTGGCTCTTATTGATTCTATGATTGATTTCATTAAAAACATCAATGTTATTTATTTTACAATTACTATTGCACAACTCAATTTTTAACTACAGTTTTTCTTATAATTAAGCAAAAGATCTAAAATAAAATTGCCTATTTGAGTCTTTTATATGCTGAGTACTGATATACTAATAAAATTAACTACCACCAAATCTTGTATTTATAATAACTTACTGCAAGGACTACTACAAATACTATATCATTATTGCTAGTTAATGTATTGACCTCGTGCCCTGCAAAATTTTTGACACAATCCCTCAAGGTCAAAGAATTTCTCTCACCACTACATAAGTTTAGTCTAACAATTCCTTAAAAAGCCATTCATGATTTACAAAACACCCAAACTATTTACTTCCGTTAATACTTAAATGGAGTCCATAATGTATATGCATCTTTTCCTTACTCTTAAACCTTTTCCTCTAACCTTATTAGTTTATTTCTTCACCCAGACATATTTCTGGTAGTTTATAATTTAAGCCTTGCACCCTGCTTAAAGTTTCTTGTCAATAACTAAGAAATGGAAGATATTCTGAGAGAACTACTGATATATTTCCATCATTAAGTCTTTGAAGTTTCAATGAATGAGCTAGCCAGCCATAGAGAAATAACTTCACCTCGTTATGCAGTCCTCGTATTACTTGCATGGTCCATGACCAAAGCATGGACCTTTTCACATTCATAAAATAATATCTTGAGATTGTATTTATATTGGCCTTAATATGAGCAAAATAATTGGCAAAAGAAATTAATATAGAACCTTCATTTCAAACGAGTTATTTGCTTGAAAAGACCCAAACATTTCATATGAAAAAAAAGTGTATAGCATCAGTGTGTTTGTGGTTTAACTTTTGATTCAAGGGCCTTGAAAACAATGGTTCAAGAGTTGTAAACACCAAATTGATTAAAGGTTTGCTATTTACATCAACCACTCTATCTGACATCAGTGTCAGTGCATATGCTTTGCTATATTCCTCTTAACAATACTTTACACCAAACAGTACTTATCATCCATGAAGAAATTTTAAAAGCAAGATTATAAAGGAAGTACAAAAGCAGGTCTTAGTTTATAAAGAACTTTCTTTCTAAATTTTATTAATGGAAACTAAGTGATGTGAATCTTGAATGCGAAGTTCTTGTGACCCGTCTGTCAATTTTCTCCATTTCTTGGATGCATTACTTATTGCATCTGGCAGTAGGAATGATTTGCTACCTGGCTGTCTTGGAAGTGTTTGCAGTCACCAAAGAACCATGTGCCTACCTGACAAACAGTAATGTTATATGTGTATAATATTCTTTATTGATGCTGACAGGACATTTTTATTTTACAAAATGTCATTATATGTTATGGTTATAATTTTAACACATTCATTGTGAAATGATAAACAATACTTTTATGTCAGATTCAAAACAGGCATACTTGCTTCTGAAATACGAAAAGCCTTTCCCTGAGAGTTGACCACAATTTGTTAATAAACATGACTAAAGTTTTAAATGACCTTGACACACAATGCAGAGTATGCAACAACTTACCCATAGTGCTCCACTCTCCCACCTTTCATGTGACTTATTGTGATTGTATGGGGAAGATGTATATATATATATATATCAGCACTGCTTTCCTACCATAATCCAGATTTTATTATTGAAAATCATGCTGTTAACATTGCTACAATAAATTTATCAACATTCATTCTAATTCAAGTACTTCCAATAATAACCCATCCTCAGTTTTTCTGCCCTGCATGCTATGATTTATCTTGTATTGAGACTTTCTTCTACACAGTTATTAGCTAATCTTGTTCTCATAGTTCATTTAGTCAGTAATCAAATATCTACCTTTGTTACGTTTTTATAGGGCCAGATTCTTTACAGGTGTCTGTGACTTGGTGGTAATAAAGTTCAACAATAAAAGACACCACACAACCCACTTGTTTTAAAATAATATATTTAAAACAAGTCAAACATATGTAAAAAAAATTTATTACACTATTGGTTATCATAATTGTATCCAGAGCCTTAAATAATTGGCTCCATTTTGTGAAGTCCACACAGGCAGGTTCAATTACTTTAGAACACACTTTAACAAGACAAATTGTTCTTCTTTATCTCTCTTATTACAATACAAGCTGTGAAACTCACTTTAGAAATTGCCTGTTACAGCTAAACTGACACACAGTTTAACTTCACTTTTACTTTCATTTTCATTAACTTCCACTAACTTGGTCACCTATACATATATGTATATATATTCCCTGACTTAGGCCTAGAACTTTATACAAACTACAAGACAAGATGTTATGATGTAACAATGCATACTTAAAGCAACGAAAAAGATTCCGAAAGTTCAAGTAACGTGATGTCAATTCACAACAATTGAACTACACAACAAATGATTCGGAAGCAGTTACACAAGCAAACCTGCAATAAATTATCACTTTTAAAATTATTAAGTTTAACATCACATTTTAGAACTATCTAAATCATAACTCTTGTATTTAATTTAAATGAAACTTGTCGTGTATATCTAACAACCTAGCAGTCTTCATAGTCTGTGGATCTCACTGATATAATTTCTAATACAATGAAGCTCTTGTGTTCCTTTGGTGCTTTAGCCCATCTTGCTGTGTTGCAAAATACTCATCTTACCCCTAACGTTTCAGCTGAACTTGAAAGAGGTTCTTTCTTGACATGTTTTGTCTTTGAAAGTATTTCACCTGAACTGCTTTTCATTCAGAAGTATGCCAGCAAAAGATTATTAGGGTTGTAGCATCTCATTTTGCTTCTTGTCATCTTCCATTTTCAAAATGACAATTGAGTAATGTTCGTTCTCTTACCTTCATTGTCTACTTCTCAGTCAACATCTGCCTTTTTGACCCTTTTGAGTAGCCTAACATGGAAGTAGGTGAGGGGTGTCTTTTCAGTTTGCTCATTGGCTATTTTTTCTTCCATATATCTTCTCTGTCCAGAATTCTGTGTCATCTTGGATAATTTTTTCATCTGTAGAATCCTTGGGTTGAGCAGATCCTTCAGTTCAGTCTTTACTTACACTTTTGTTGTCCTCCTCCCATTTTTCTTCCAATCCTGTTTGCATACAACTTCTGGATCAGAAAGTCTTAGTTTCCTTACCAAGGGAGCAATAAAAATTGCTTATCGTGCTTCTTGTGTTTTTTACTTGTGTGTTTACAGTTCCAAAGAAAATGGGGGATTGAAGATCTGTCATAAGTCTATCTCAATTCAGTCTTTACCTGGATACATTTCATTTTGAAAATAACATGAAGATATTACAGAAGTTTTTTGGGTGAGGCCATTGGATGAGAAAGGGAGATATACAGGATGCTTACCTTCCTACCCCCATTCATCTATCATATCATTATTTTTGATATTGGAGGATGAATAATCAGTTCACTGACCTTCCCTTCAGCTTGGCTTTAGCTCCATATGTTTTCTATCAAGCATTCAATGCATCTGTTGGTTGTCCTCATTACTCCACATTGAAATTTTTACATGGAAGATTGGGTTATTCTAATCCTTTATTCCACTCAGTCTTATACACACTAATTGACCACCCAACTGGCTACATATTGTGGGTGGATCATCCACAACTCCAAAGCCTATTTCATAACACCACAATATTTGGGACACATCTGGATCAACATGATTCAAGGAATACTTCAGTCATCTTCTATGACAATGCAATCCTTGGAGTCTTGTGTTCATACTCTTCTGTCTTCTACACCTACCACCATAAATATCCACTCTTTTTAGGGACAATGCCTTGGTTCTTATAGCATTCCTTTGGGGGTGTACTTACATGCATCATCTCTAATGAACCTTACTCCTCAGTGGCATCTGGTTTCAACCCTTTTATCAAGACAGCAGAATCTCCTTTTCTCCCTATTCCTTTTGACCTTCATCTTTTGACAGATACCTCTCTCAAGGGTTGGGATGCTGTTCTGAAGAATCAGTATCATTCTGGTACTTGGGCTACTTAAGAAGCAACAGGACACATAAGAGTATTATAATTTTGGACTGTTCAGTGTGCTTGTCTCTTGTTCATCACCATTCTGTGTTAATTCACACAAACAACTGTAGTAATTTACATCAACAATCAGGATGGTACCATTCTCACAGTGCCTTTGTATTGCTGCAGTTTCTCTTTTTGGCTTAATTTTCAATGTGTTCACCTTCTAGCCTGTCACATTCCTATTGTGATGAATGTTCTGACTGACTCTCATTCTTGAGGTCATTACCTTTTCCCACAGAACAGACCCTTCACCCTTTTTTATTCAGTGACTTTGAGAATGTCTGTGTTATTGGATGATTTATGCCTTTGATATATTGATCAACCATCTTCTTCCACTCTACTAGTCTTTATTTCTAGTTCTAGACTCACACTTGGGAGAACCTCTTTCTTTATACATACCATTCACTTCACCTTCTTCATAATTCCATGGCCAAGATCAGTTACTTGAAGTGTCAGGGTCTCCTCATTGCTCCATATATCCTGCTCAACCATAGTTCCCCAATTACATCAAGAAAGCGCTAGTCACATTACCATTGTTGATTCATCTTCTACAACAACGTTGAACAACCATTTGATGTTTGACCTGTAGGATTTCATAACTGCCTTTTGTTCAGTCCTTTGTTTGAGAAGCCAAATATTCTCTTCAATGGTGGCTTAAATGTTTGCTTATTCTTATAGATGCTCTTCTCTGGCTGATTAGCAGTCTCATTGGACTCTCTTCAGCAATCGTAGCATTAGACATGTTATATTTTGTTTATCTCCAATTTCTCATTAAGTTGCTTCATTCTTTTGTATTTGTTTCATAACCATAGCCTATTAGCTCCTTCCATAGCTGGTTACAGAGTGCCTTATTTGCTACCTTCAGATGTCACAGAAGCAATCAATCCCTTTTGTTCTCATTATTTAAAGACCTCTTCTGAGCCTTTTGTCTTCAATGACCCCAAAGGCTTTATTTAAGTTAGCTTTTTTTGGAAGTGGGTGGTGGGAGTGTTGGGTTACTTAGATGAGGCAAATTGCTTTCTGTCATACAGTAGTTTGGGCACATTTTAAAAGATTAACAAAGCTTTCATGTTAGTTAATTAGCAGTTGCATTAAAGTCCCAATTGTTAATCACTCCTCTTCTCAATGCAACCTGCTTACTGTTTAATGTGTCTGAAAAAAGACTAGGAATAATTAATTTTGCATGTGAATTGTAAACAGCTTTGAAACATTATCTGCTACGCAATATAACTCATTTTTCTTTCTCATGTTGACTAATAGCCAAATGTTTTGAATCATGTTAGACAACACTATTAGTGGATAGAAATAATTATTTAATTGATGGGTTCATAATTAAATAGTTATTTCTATCCACCAGTTTGGTTCATAAACAGATAATAGTGGATAGTTTAAAAAATATAACATTTACACTTTCTTTTTCTTAGGGAACTCTACTGTTTTCATTTCTCTATGTGCGCTTTTTTCACAGTCGCTATGATAGTGACAGAAGTACAACAGTTACATCCATTCTGGCACTGTCAGTTACACTTCTAACATCATTGTTACTTCCAGTAGATGTTTTCTTGGCATCATACATGAAGAACTCTGATGGAACATTTAAGGTAGGGGAATTCTTTTTTTCTTTCTTTTTTTCTGTTTTTGTAATAAAACTACTTATAGATTTATCCTTCAGAGTAACTAAAATAAGAGTTGAATGTATGTTTAAAAAATTTAATCATGCAAAAAAAATTATCATATGGAAATAACATTTAATATAATTAAATATGTTACAGTATATAGTAGATTTACCTTTACTGTTATAATGATCAATTATGTCAGAGTTTCTGTTTTAATAAATTATTTCAGAGGGGTTGAGTTAACTTAACTAAAAGGAAGTTGTGTAATTGTATCCTACATGTGTCATGGAATGCAGAGAATTTCCTCTGTGAATTACTTTTACCACTGTGTAGTTGAATTAAAAGATACCAAGTTACCATACAGAAAATGCAATAAAGAAAGTAAAGTTATGGATAAAAAATGAATACTTAATTAGTCCTAAATCAATGAATTAGCTTAGTATCTAACAGTTAAATGTTTTTCTGACTGTGATATCTAATAATAAAATATCAAGTTGTTAACATTAATGCCTTTTTGCATTATCCAGTTTTGTACTTGAATTTCTCAGAATGAATCATTTTTGAATTATAATTAAAAAATCAGCCAATAATAAAAGTTTTTTGAATTTTTTTCTAATTCAGTAGATAATAAATGCTAATTTTGTATATTTCAGTTTTTCATTTTATGCACAAAAATAAATAACCAAGGAGACTCAAAGTTTTTGGAACAGTTTCAGCAAAACCCCAAAATTATTAATACTATTATAAAGTAGATTAAGATAAAAAATAAAACTTGTAATCTCTCATTACAACATAAATACATTCAATCTAATTTCTTTTCTTATCATAATTAAAAAATCTTCAATTTATATTTCAGTTTTATTTTCTTTAAACAATTCTTAGTTCTGAGAATTTTAAGACTATTTTGAGTTTATACATAATTCTAGCTACTCAGTCAGTTTCAATAATTTCTGGTGTTTTGTTTTATATTAAAGTTTTTTTATTAATGTTTTGTCTTGAACCATTTTTGAACAGTTTTAAACTCTTATACTATCAAGATATTAAACAAAAAAATACACATTAACATGATTTATGCATACTTCTCTCTGTTTCATAAAATATATCTATGGTGTGAGGAAAAATATAATAATATTGTTATTTAATTCTAATTCTGTGAAGGGAGAGAATGAAAATTATAACATCTTCAGTTTTTCTGCAAAAATAAGACTCCAAACAAATAATCATCTTCACCAGTGGTTCTTAATCTGTGGGCTCATGGGCTCCCCTTCAGGTGGTCCATAGCAAGGTTGTATAATTATGGAAAGGAAGAGGCACTATAGTGTATAGATTCCATTGTGGTCCATGAATAAACAATATAAAAACTACTGTTCTACACGATTGTTATTCTTTCGTATCACTCTTGCATATGTGAAGAGATGTTTGATTGTTGTTAGGCGGAAAGATACCCATGAGCTATCTGTGCTGTGTCCATCAACGGTATCAAAACTCAATTTTTATGTTTTAAGCCTTCAAACTTAATGGTTAGCCACCGAGGGCATATGTGAAGAGCACAAGTTTGAATGTGACATACAACGTTGAATATAATTTTGTTTTACTCCATTCTGGAATATTTGCTTCATTTGCTCATCAGTCATGCTTATAAAGTTTTAGCAATTATATTTCAGTTCATACTGTAGAAATGTTTACTCTTCAAATGTTTTTGAAATGTGAAAATAAATTTATGTACTTGTTGAGTTTACTCTAGAGTATTTAGTTGATTTTCCATTATTTTAATAATTTAATTTGTGTCATATACACTATATACATGCACCCACACACACACACACGCACACACACACTAGCAGCTGATAACTGTTTTGAAAACTTGGGGAATTATTTCAAACAAGTATTTTATGTTCTATTATTTATCCATATACAAGAGCAACCCTTTTCACATCCACAAACTTGCTATATTACTCAAGATGTAAATAATTTGTAGATTATATTTCTGTTATTCATAACTAGGTTTATTTAATGTTTGATTTTAAAAAAATATGTATATTTTAATTGCTTTAGGATTGGGCCAGTAATATAACCTTTCGTCACACTGTTGAGGATTCTGTGCTGTATGCTTACTATGGTAAGTATCAGTTTTTGTGAAAAAAAAACTTCTTTATTACTCATGTTAACTGGTGCTGCTGTTTTATGTTTTCAGTCCCTATAGAGTTAGCCTGTGTTCTTATTTGTACTTGTATTGATAAAGGCAAGTTGGCTAACCAGTACATTAGTGGAGAAACTGAATATATATATATATATTAATGGCTAAACACTACACTATGGTAGGTTTATGTTTTAAATGTGTGTGTGTATCAAAAGAAAAAGA